TCAGCAGGATAAATATATCAAATAAATCAGTTTTTCTTATTAAGAAAACAAAGATTGAATATTCTGTTCTCTGCAAAGGTTATTTTCTTTGGTTACTTATAAAGAACCTAATTATACCTCTGAATGTTTTGGGGTTTTCAACTTTACAAATCTAAAAAACTAAAATATAAAAAACTAAATTAAAAAAATAACCAAATAAAACAAAAATATAAAGCTATGATTCCCCAAAATGTATCATCATACCTTAATGTTCTGTTGCCATAACATCCCAGGTCTCCAATACCAAGATCATCAGCCATCAGTAAAATGATATTGGGATTTGAAACATGGTGGGTATTGACATTGTTTATGGCATGCTCATAAATTATTAGAAATAAAAGGAGTCTCATCTTCTTCCTGGTGTGTAAGAACAGATGAAAAAACGTAATAGATAATGACCTTTTTTTTTTCATTTGACTGTTAATTTAATTTAAACCTATTATTACCCTGAATTGTATAGTAGAAGAGAAAAAGAAAATTAGATTGTATATTTCTATTTGGCTTTTTTTTTCCTCAAAAGTTTTTTTTTTTTTAACATTATTTTCTGTCATATTTTTTAAAAATAAAAATGCATCTTTTAGTGCATACCTAATCTTTCCTTCCACACCTTTACACAGACAAAGCCTTTAAATAACGACAAAGAACTAGTGATAACCTCAGTGACAATACTTTTGCATACAAAGATGCACTACACAGCAGTAAATCAAGACAGCAAATAAGGCTCTTTCTGTGATTTGAGGAACACAGAGACTGAAATCATTTAGGAGCAAAATTTCCATGCTTCACTGCAGAAAAAAAGTTCATCAATTCTGCCACTGAAGTAAATGACTGAATTTCTCTTCATCAAGGGAAAAAAAAAATCCTGCCCGAGTTTCTTGACAGGAATACGTATTATGGCAAAGGGGCTGAAGAGATGCACTGCCAAATTACTGAAAGGAATGTTTAAGAAAAAGCTCTTCATAAATGTTTTAAACATCAGGGCCTATGGGAAAATTATGTAACAATATTTGATATCCTATCACAATGTTCTGTAAACAATGCTTATGCTATATCCAACTTAAAGCAGGAAGAACAATATCTTGTACAAAATACTACACACCATTGCATGTGTTTATGCTAAAAGCACAGTCTGTGGCAGATGTGCGTGCTATGAATGCTATTTACCTAAACACGGACTTGGTCGTATCTCTGTTTGAAACTGCATTGACTATGCCCTGGCTGAAATTGAGTGCCTCTAGGCTGTGATGGACTGTGCCAGGTACACACATCAAAAAAGAACAGAGACTCTCTCTCTTTTGCCCCTAGTAATACTCCCACCTCTTCTGGATGCAGGCAGCCTTTTTCAAATGCACGAGACATGGGTCATGCCTGCACTCTGGATTATGCTGGGACAAGAAGGAAAGCAGAGGAAACCAAGAGTGAGGTGGAAATTTGAAAATAAAGAGTAGGAAAAGGAACTAGAAACAAGAATTTCCAGACAGAATGGGGACAGCAGGTCAAAAAAGAAAAAAACTTGTAAATCAGTGAGTTATGGTAGATAAAAGTAACTGGAGAGAGGATAAAGAAGCTGGAACTGGAAGAGCTGGTAAAAAGAGACTAGACATCAAGGGAGACAGATTCATAAATCAGTAAGGTGTGGTGGGTAAAAGTATCTGTGGCAAAGATGAAGTAGTCAGAACTGGAAGAGCTTGCACTGACTTGAATAAAGAGCAAGAAGGGAAGCTTGAGACCCAGCTGGAATGAGAATGAAAATTGCAGGTTGAAATGGTAGAGGGTTTAAGGAACTGGAAGGGATAGTATGACAGTGGATAGGAAAACAAATCAAAGAGAAGAGGTGAGAGAACTGGGAGTGTCTAGGATGAAAGAGCTGAGAAGTTATGACTAAAGAAGATGAAGGGAACTGATTGGAAAGAAGAGCCTGCGCAGATAAGACTCATGACTGACACAAGCTAGAAGAGATCAAGATAGTGGGGATCAACCAAAACAGACTGGGATTCCCAATTCCCAACCTTTATTATTGCCATTCTGCCAGAAAGCACAGGTGCAAAGAGGATTTTAACTCTTTTAGTGCTTGTTCACGTGCAGATTAAACACTAATAAGGATATTAGATTATTTTTACTGCTTAACGTACATTTTATAACCCACTGACCTCACCTTGATGACAACAGTTCTGGTTTAGACTTCAGCTGACAACACCTGAAGATCCCAGCCTTATCACTGCAACAGATCGTTACCTGGTTTACTTCACAGGAAGCAATCTACTTCATTTCAGACATGAAAAATACATACACAAACTTTAATACTAAAACACTAACCAAGTTCTGCTTGGTGAGATGCTCGTAACCAACCCTTCATCAAATTACCATACTAATGAAACAGTGTAGCACCTGCCACAGTGCAGACTTTTAATCTGCACAGATTTACTTTTCTTCCCTGGAAGGATAAACAAGCGTGAATTGCTTCCCACAGAAATTCCAAGGTTTAATTCAACTGGGCCAAGCAAAACATCCCGTGTGTTAATTAGAAGGTATAGAACTATGGACAGTAGTTGTCTTGAATATGTGTGGGGTCTTCAGCCACTAATGAGCAGAGCCAATTAATCTTCCTTTAACTGAGCAATGTTACTGTTGGAAATCAGAGTAGTAGCTGTATGTTATTTTCCAGAATGAAAGAAATCTAAAAAATTAGTGAAATATCTTAGAAGTTAACTGAATACAATTT